ACACACACACACACACACACACACAGCCCCTAGGGGCACCCTACCTGCTTTCTCCCCTGGTCCACAGGGAGCCAAGTCGGCTAGCGGTGGCGCTGAGGGCCCTTGCACATTCTCATAGGTGAGCTCCCCATCCTCATCAGCCTCTGGGTCTGGAAAGGAGAGAAGGGGGACCAAGGTGGGAATCGGGGCTGGGGTCCTGAGAGAGGCGAGGATGCAGGCTTCAGAAGCAAGGCGACATCACTCTGACCCTGTCCTAGCCAGGTGGAGAGGCTCTTCTTCAGGGGCACCTTCACGAACCGCAGGTCTGCGTAGGTGATGGCCTCCGCCATGGCCACGAGCCTTTCGACATCCACCGGTCTCACCCCTCGTCTGTCCACCAGCCCCGAGCTCCCTTGCCGCTCTGTCGACTCTGTAATCACACAGATCATCGTCTGGCCCTGTGACTTCCAGTCACAAAAGAGGAAGATGTGAGCAAGGCTCCGCCAGATGGGTTCAGTGAAGCAGAAGACATCCCTGGGCCTGCCCCAGAGGGCCGGCTGGAGGAGGGGAGAGGAGAGCCTGGCCTGTCCTGCCTGTGTAGGACAGGCAGCTTCATGCAGCTCCAAATGCCTGACCCCTTGGTGGTCCTCCTGGCTGCCCTGTTCACAGAGGCTTATGGATGTGCACTCACTGCTCTTTTATGCTCAGCCCACCCAAGGAGAGGGAAGTCAGTGCCCCTGGGTGGGGCTCCATGGTCCCTGACTGGAGGTCCTGTGGTACCTCCAGATCTCCCCACCATTCTGGGGCTTCCAGCAGGTATGGCCTTCTAGAAAGGGGGCTCCCTGATATGAGGGTCCCAGATGGTACTCATCTCTCCCAGAACTTGGAAGCTTCGGGGTGGGCCCAGCTCCCTCCCCAGCAGAGTGGCTGAGCACCACTAGCACCAGCACACACAGGCAGATTCTTTCTGGGAACCCTACCGTCTAGGGCTGCAAAGAACCAAAGAACGGAGACCAGCCTATTTCTCCTTTGTGAACATTCCAGTTCCTCCTCAGAACTTTCCCCTGCTCCCCTCCATCCTGTTGCTCTCCAGAAAACCAGTCGCCCCCTTCCTCTCCCCATCCGGCCCTGCCAGTCTCCTGCTCTCCTCTGTCCCTACAGCTGAGCTTCAGTAAAGGACCCAGAAGGTAGAAGCCAGGAGGCAGAGGCCTGGGCTGCGGGATGAGGATGAGGGACCCCACAGGAGCCTTAGTATTAGCCACTTCACAGCTTGACCTCTGGAGACACAGCCTGTGCAGCCACAGTGGGGGGTGGGGGGGGTACCTTGGGCTTAAGAGGGGCTGCAGCCTGTTGGTCTCCCCCACAGTGGGGCAGAGAGATGAAGAGGGGCCAGGAGCCTAGGGTGCAGACTTGAAACCAGACACGCTTTTGATACCTTCTTATCCTGGTTTTGATTTTCTTTAGTTCCCAGTTCTTCCAGCAAAAAACCTTTTTTAAAGCCCCCATGCTTTCCTTTCGCATCCAGCACCCAGGAAGGAGGGGCACGTGGCAGAGTGGAGAAGGACCAGTGACTGAAGGGGAAGGCCCCCTGACCATGGAGGACAGAGGATGCCTGGGGAGGGGGCAGGGGGCTGTTGAGGATGGTGCCTGGAGATGCACCCCAGCACGCTTACTCCTAGGTTGTCGGCTGTTGTTGACCCCTTAGTGGGTCGGGGCTGGCTCCTAGGACCCTGTGCTCCACAGGAGGCAGCACTGCCTGGTCCGGCACCATCCCACCCTCATGCCCGCACTTGAGCCCATGGCTGCGGTCGGTCACTGGGTCGGACCATCTCATGGAGGGTCTTGTTCTTTTTTGCTGACCCTCTTCTTTCCCAAGCATGATATCCTTCTATGGGGGTTGTCCAAAGAATGTCATCCTAAAAAAAAAAAGAATGTCATCCTTGCTTCGAAGGAGCTCTCTGGCTGTACTTCTGAGACAGTCCGTGGCACTTTAATAGTCATCGCCAACCCGGGAATCCAGATGCACCCATCCTCCTCCTCTCTCTGGGGAACCTCCAAAAGGCCAACTTCTGACAAAGGGAAGGGGCTGGGGGAAGACAAGGTATGGGGGAGGGGAAAACCCACCCCTCCGTGGGGGCGACATCCGCTCCTCAGAAAGCCCTTCTGCAGCTGTGGGAGGAAAAAGGAAGGGGGAAAAGGTGCTCACCGCAGCAGCCTAACAGTTCTCGTTGTCTGTGTGGTGGTGTGTGGCGTGGTGCTGGGCTGGGCCCACCCCCGAGAAAGTACCCACTGAGGCATCGAAGAATGTATCTGCAGGGTGACAGTGGGTGGACCTTGTGCATGCTCCTGCCCCCAGGTGAGCATCTGTGTCAAGGCCAGCCTGGAGGATTAAACATGGGGGTGAAAGGAGGTCTCTGATCATTTCCACCCCCCTGAGGCAGGCCATTCTAATACAAAGTCTTCAGTGGCTAGGGTGACAGGTTCTACTAGTGTTTCCCTGTGGGGGTTCAGGGTCCCGAGGTGTCGCTGTTGAGGGGCTTGGTGAGGGGCACCAAGAGCTCACCTCCAGGCACTCCGCCAGGGTCTCCCCCAGATCACAGCCCAGTGTGTGGATAACCCCCTGGGGGCCTCAGGGGCCTGTGAGGGTGACTTGGGGGCATCCAGAGCAGCTGGTGGCAAGGTGGGTGGGGACAGGCAGTGCACTGGTGCCTGTGGCGTGTGGGTGGGTGGGTAGGTACCAACGGCATCAACACTTGCACGACCCTCATAAACGGTACACCATGTTCGTTTTCAGAACCAACACACAGGTGAACAGGACCCGAATGCAGGGGACATGCCTGGATCAGGCTCCCAGGGTGCATGCACTCTGCAGAAGAATCAGAGGCCATATGGCCTGGCTGGGCCCTCGGGGGCCTTGAGAAGGGCAGGGTGGTACCCAGATGAAGCTGAGGTGAATTAAACCGCACCCAGCCCCAGTCCCAGGGCAGGACTCGAGGCCCTAAATGGGGTGGGTGAGTGGGGGGCCAGGGGCTCTCTTTCAATGCTCTTTGGTGCTGGCTGCCTAGCTCCACAAGAGGTCCGTATCCCATTCTAAAGCAGACCACCCTGCCATTGCCAGTGGTAAACAGATAGAAGAGCAGGATTCTCCCTTTCCCCGTGAGCAGGACACACGGCCTTCGCCACACGGACATTCACGTTTCTTTGGCAGCTGGACACTGTAACCCCAAGCCGCATTCCTGAGACACCCAAGGGCCTTTATGGAGTGAGGGTTGGTGCTCCACACGTCTGCCTCTCCAGGACCATAATACCACCCTCTGAAAAAAAAAAATACCACCCTCTGAAACTCTAGAGCAGCGGTTCTCAACCTTCCTCATGCCGCAACCCTTTCATACAGTTCCTCCTGTGGTGGGGACCCCCCAACCATAACATTCTTTTCATTGCTATTTCATCGCTGTCATTTTGCTACTGTTATGAATCGGGCGACCCCTGTGAAAGGGTCCTTTGACACCCCCCCAAAGAGGTCGCGACCCACAGGTTGAGAACCGCTTCTCTCCAGGGTAGACCCCAGAATCCTTTCTTGCGGTCCCCTGGCCTCTGGGTTGTGAAGGGAGACAAAAGGAGGGGAACGGTGATGGCATGAAGAAGGAATTTTCAGTGTGGAGAGGGGCTTGTCCTGCTGAAGTCTGGCCAATACTAGGAAATCAGAAGGCGTCCTAAAACTTGGAAAGTCAGATGGTCTCTTTAATCCCAATCTAGTCCCTTCAAAGGGAACATCTTTCTCCGCTGCCAGAAGAGAGATTACACGCCGGAAGATGAGGCAGATAGGCGCTACATGGCACAGACTCAGCCAACCAGTGCTGGCCTTGAAGATGGTGGAAGTGGGTCACAAACCCAGGAATTCAGGCAGCCTCTGGAAGCCGGAGAAGACAAGACAAGGGAGTCTCACCTAGAGGCTCTCACCTAGAGGCTCCCAAAAGGAAGCCAAGCCTGCTGACACCTTGATTTTGGTGAGAACCACATTAGCTTGCTGGCCTCCCTAGCTGTGAGATTCTGAGTTTGTGTTGCTTAAGTTGCTAGGTTTGTGGTTTTGCACGACAGCAGCAACGGAAAGTGACGCGGGGCTTTGCTACGTTTCCTGAACCCTGGAGAAAGCGTGATGCAATGGACAGAGCACGTGAGAATCTCCAAAGTTCTCGTGGCTTCCTACAGATGGTCTGGAGGATGTCTGCCATCACCATGATCTGATGTCTATTGTTGGGGTCCTAGTAGGTCTAGACTTCAGCACCCTCAGCTTCCAAGGTCTGGCACAAGAGCATTGGTGAGATGGGAGCCATCGCGGCAGCATTGATGAGCTCTGCGGATCTCTGAATCCCTGGAGCGAGAGTTCCACCGGTGACTTGCCCAGGGGCCTCCTTGGCAAGTCCTGTCTTAAATGACCACTGACTTAGAAAGCAGAGCCGAAATGGACTTGGAATATGACAAACAAGTTCATCTCAAACCAAAAAGCAAGCAAGCGGAAAGGAAAAGCGGTCGTCAGGATGGCAAACCCGAGACCGAAACCATCGTTGCAACAAATGATGTCAAACCACAGAAAGAGCCTTGGTGAAGGTGGGTAATAATAGCCAGCGGGCACTGAACATTCAGAGTTCAAACAAGTAAATGATATATGTATAGGATGGAAGGACTCCTGGCTTAACAAATAGGACCCAGCTCCTTTACCAAATATGTTAACACTGTGCCAGCCTCTTGGGAGGGGGCAAACTCCTGCTGCCAATGCAGCCCTAGTCCCTGGAATTTGTGATATCAAATTCTGACCGGCTGATTGAAATAGCCAAGCAGACAACTGATTCATACACTAGCCAAGATCCAATGGGGTGGTCTGGTTCAGAAGTCAGAAATGATATAAATGTACCAAATTCTCATTCTCAGGAATTGGGGGAAATAAGATGATCACTCAGCAGTGGGAGCTGGAACCGAAAGCTGAGAGAAAGAGAGAGGGAGAGAGAGACTTTCCACAGAGTGCACCCTCCATTCCTTAGCTCATGGTGCCCGGCTATCCTGACAGGGATCATGAACCTGATTATCCCGTGGAGATCAGGGGTTCCTGGCAGCCACCTGATGCCCCCACCCATGATTAAACGCAAACAGGTAACTGTGGTCACTATAACCTGAGAAGGACAAAGCCACCACTCTGGGACCCCTCAGAAGTGAGGGGCTAGGTTACCCACCAGGCAAACAATGTAAAACCAGGAAGAAGTGCTGTCTTAGCTGAGGGAAGGAGTCTGGAACGGATGCCCAGAGAAGCCTGCTGTGACGGGGCCTGCAGCTTATCTCCCTATACAAGTGCTTA